GGCACGACTCCGCGAGCCAAGTCATCGCCACCGTCTGCCACGCTGGCCGGCAGCGCGTGGCATCAAATCTTCCATGGCGGGTGCGCTGAAAGACGAACGAGCGTCACCCATGGTATCATAGCTTCAGCTGGGGGCATGGATGGAGCGTAGAGCCGCATAGCAGCGCCCGCCACAATCATGCAGCATTTCTCGACACTGGTGCCAGCCCACGGCCAATAGAGGAGATGGTAAATTCCACCAATCCGCCGCATGATAGCGGATGGACTCCCGCGTCCAAATGTTGATTCCCCATCTGATTTTCCAAGTCTGCCCACGGGGCAGCTAGCGAGTGGCGACTCGCGAGTCGGCGGGGCGGCCCCAAGCAGACCGAACAGCACAGGTTCGTTGGGCCCCTCTCTGGCGGTGTGGCCCCAAGCAGCCCGACCAGCACAGGCTAGCTGAGTCCCCCGCGGCCTTCGTGCGAGCCACCGCGCTGCGGCCCTCGGCGTCGCCGAGCACAAGGCAAAGCGGCGCGCGGCGCGCAGGTCGGGACATGACTCCGCGAGCCAAGCCATCGCTACCGTCTGCCACGCTGGCCGGCAGCGCGCGGCACCAAATCCTCCCTGGTGAGCGCGCTGAAAGACGAACGAGCGTCATCCATGGTATCATAGCTTCAGCTGGGGGTATGGGCGGAGCGTTGAGCAGCACAGCAGCGCCCGCCGCAATCATGCAGCATTCCTCGACACTGGTGCCAGCCCACGGCCAATGAAGGAGATGGTAAATTCCACCAATCCGCCGCATGGTAGCGGATGGACCCCCGTGTCCACAATGTGATCGCATTTTCCCGAATGCTTCCCAAGTTCGCTTATGGGGGCGCTAGCGAGCGGCGGCTCGCGAGTCGGGGGGCGGCCCCAAGCAGACCGTTCGTCGGGCCCGTCTCTGGCGGCGTGGCCCCAAGCAGCTTGAACGGCGCAGGCTAGCTGGGTTTCCCGCGGCCTTGCATGCCAGCGCGCTGCGGCCCTCGGCGTCGCCGAGCATATGGTCAGCGGCGCGCGGCGCGCAGGTTGGGACATGACTCCATGAGCCAAGCCATCGCTACCGTCTGCCACGCTGGCCGGCAGCGCGCGGCACCGGATCCCCCCTGGCGGTCGCGTTGAGAAACGAACGAGAGTCATCAATGTATGTATATATATATATATATATATATAGCAGACCAGCCATTTCTGGGGGAGCACGGGTCTGGGGGAGCTGGGGGGCGCCCTCCTAAATGAGATTCCTCCTTTTTTATGTAATTTCAAGCAGTTGCACGTGATGCTCCGTGCTGTTGTGATGCTGTAGGGTAGCGGCGACGGCCTTGGAATCAGCCCTGAAGGCGGCGCGAAACCCCTCGCTGGACGGGGCCAGAAATCCCACTCGACCCGGCGCTGGGGCGGCCGTCTCAAGCTAACGCCACAACCGCGACAGGCATGCCAAACAAACATGAGCGTGAAGCCCACAGCACCCCGATGTCAGGACACCGGCACAACATGCATCCTGCTCCTTTGGCTGAGCCGGCCAAGCGCTTCCATGAGGACGGCGCGCAGGCATGGGGGCAATCGGGTGCGAAACAACGCAATCGCTTGACATGCGACAGCTTGACGCGCGACGATAAGCGGCGGCGCGTCGACAAACTAAGGAAAATGTTCCACAGACCCGCGCCTCGCAACAACGATCGAAACAAACCGAGCCCACCGCGCAGCGCGCAGCAGGGAGGCAGCGCCAATGCGCGTCCGAGGGGGCGCCGCCCCGACAGCGCTTGAACGTCATGCGATATGATCTGAACCGGGACGCGGGGGCCTTCGAAAATCAAAGGGCAGGGGCGGCCGCCAGCAACCGGCCGTCGGCGCGAAACCGCTGCAAATATTCGGAACGAGCGTGCGCGGCGCTGCGAACCTTCCCCTTTCCAACCCTGACCAAGACGACGACAGCGAGAATGCAAGGCAGGCGTGGAGGAGGGGTACGAGGAAAGGACAGCGACGCGACGCGGAGAGGGGGAGAGCGGGGCGCAAGAAATGTGAAGGAGGAGCGGGAGGAGGAGGAGGAGGAGGAACGGGCATGCCAGACACGCCCTCGCGGGACCGCAGGGCGCGCTGGTCCTCCGCAGTGACGGCACGCGAGGATGGGGGGGCCAGGGGGCGGCGCTCGGCCGTCCGACATTTCCCGCGCAACCCTTGCGCGTCGATTCTTTTTCCTCCGCCAAAGTGGCTTGCGCCTCCCCCGGGGGGCTTCCAAAGTGGCAGTTTTTTTCCCATTAGCGGAACGCTACTAGGTGAGCTTTCTTCGTCCGCTAGAGGAACACTACTAGGTATGTTTTTTTCGCCCCCTAGAGGAACACTTCTGGGCGCGTCAAAACTGGTTCCTCCTCTGCGGCCTTGTCGCGAAGACGGGGGGCCGCATCGTTCAAGGGGAACACTACTAGGTAAGGCTACCGCGGCGGTGCCTGCAATAAGCTTGCGCGGATATTGTTGGAGTCCTTTGGAACCCGTGCCCGCCCCCGAATTATTCCCCCCCCCCATGGCGGCGCCCTGTCCTGCGGGGGCCCGAAAGCCCTGGCGCCGCTGACCGGGCCGCGTCCTACGCCGATGCCCGCCGCCCGGTGGCAACGGGCCGGGGCGCCCCCGTTCCTCGCTCCGTTTGGCGGCCTACACGCCCCCAACTTCTGGCCGTCATACACGGAGGCCCCTGGCCGACGGGAGACGCTGCCCGAAGGCGGAGAAACAGGCAGAACGATCGCCGCCCGCTTCGACGCCAGCCACCGCGAGTTCCTACGCCCACAGCGCGTTCAACACTCTCCCTGATCGCGCCCGCGCAGCCCAGCGGGCGCGCCTCCGCGCAGCACAGAGGCGCATATTCATCTGGCGTTGCCTTGGCAGTGCGCGAGTCACCGATCGGGAATTCCCGCGCGCACGAACTTCGCAAGCATAGAACGCGCCGAGAAATGTTTCCGATGAGTTGCCGACTTCTGTAACCAAGTTCCCGCGAAACGCGTTTCTAATTTCGCGGCTGCAGGCCCTGGCGAACCTAGCGGCAGCGCTCCGCATCCATGCGCTACGAATCGGGGCGGCATTGCGCGGACTGGAGCGCACGGTGAACCGAGCTTGCGAAGCCGATGGCAGTTAAGTTCAGGCGATCGCCCGCGCCACTCGGAATCGCGAGCGAACTGCCGTTTGACACTGGCACGTGCGCGCCGATAGCGCTGTGGGGGGGCGCTCGTTTGGCGCGGCATGCGCGACGCAGCTGAGCAAACAATGTCTGTCAGTTTGTGCGAGCCGCGCCCAACAAACCGCGCGATGGTTCAGTTCAAAATGTCCCACTCGTTGCGTGCACAACGACCCCCGGTGCGATGGCCGACGCGCTGGTCGCGCGCATCGAGAGAGCGGGGGCGCCAGGAAAGCAAATCTTGGATCTGATGGGTACCCCAGGGGGTAACGACCACAGCTCCCCCAGTTACCGCTGGTCGGTATATGTGCTTCTCTATCTCTAATTCTGCATCGATGTGATCCCCCTTATGTGTTACAGATGGGCACGCCTGCGTACGTATACATATATATATATATGTATTTAGAGGATCATTATCACGACGGTCTGTTCATGTATTCTTATGTAGTGTATGCATACACGTGTACAAACATATAGATGCATAGTAATCGACGCTCGCAAGCATTTCAATGACCATATATACACATATATATGTGTGTGTGCGTATCCATATTTATATATCCACGTATATACACCTGGATACACCTAGTTACCGCAGCGGCTCCTGGCGCGGATCCCCCAGCCCCCTCGGCCGACCAAGCGTTGCTACAAGGCTCTTCTCCCCGAACTTGACGTCGGGCAGCTGCCCTGATGCTTGTCCCACTGTCGGTGGGTTCCGATGGAAGCTTGGCCGTGAAGATTCGTCATGAATCTCCCGCTTGATTGCCAGCCACAGTTCAAGTCGGAACCCTCGCGCCTGTGGCGGCAAGAATGCTATCGGAAATGTTTGAAAGTGTGGTTTTCCTCATGTTTACTTGTTCCTTTCCCCCTGGTGCTGCTCCTCCCTCCGCCTCCCTCATCGTTTGCTCTCTCCTCCATCCCTCCCTCCTTCCCGCGTCCATCTCTTCACTCCTCACCTCCTCTCCCTTCCGTCAACCACGTGCACAGGTCCTCCCATAAACCTCTTTCCTCCTCCTCCTCCTCCTCCTCCTCCTCCTCCTCCCCCTCCTCCTCCTCCTCCTCCTCCTTCTCCTCCTCCTTCTCCTCCTCCTCCTCATCCTCCTCCTCGTCCTCCCTCTTCCTCATCACTTTCTCGTCCCTCGTTTTCTTCCTTGTTATCCTCCTTTGTTTCTGTTTCCGCCTCGTCCACCCCGCCAGCGCATTGACTGGCATCGCAATCGGTTATCATTCTCCCCGGCCTACCTCCATCCTTCAACAATACGTCCTCATCCCTATTGCTAAGGCCTCACGGCCGGTGCCGCCGACCATGCCCCCCCCCCCCCCGGACCGAGCCCCCCTTTGGGACCCCCCCCCTCCGCGTGGAAGGGATCAAAGGAAAAGGGCTTCCATTTGACTCAGTGACAACGTTGCTTAATTTCGCTGTGGATGGGCTGGTGTATTTCGCTTTGGCTGGCATGCTTGAGGACGAGGGTTCAAGGAAAGGGGGGCGCGACGACGGACTTAGGGGAAGGAGGGGCCGTGATGGCGGCGGCGACGCGACGGCGGCAGCGACGGCGATGGCGACGGAACAGCCCCTGTCACACGCCAACAGGGTCGACGGATTTCTTTTTCATCGTCATCTTTTCTCCGATAACATCATCCACGGCCTGCATCCTGCCTTGTCATCCCTCCTGCCTCCTCATCCTGACCCTCGACCTCCTGGTCATCCTCATCTTCATATTCTCTTATCCACTTGTCTACTTGTTTCGATCATCCCCTGACCCATACTCAGACTGGGGTATGCTAACACCCTTCCTCCCGCCTCGTCTTCCCTTGGTCTGCAGGTCGCGCCCCTCATGATGTTGGCGGGGCTCATCTTCTTTGTCGTGAGGCGACGCTCCGCACGGCCACCGCCGGCCGACTATGAGGCGCACGATCCGTGGGCGTCCAGAGACGCGGTGGAATCGAGAGGGGGACGCGAGACCCCCGCTTTGAAAAAGGACCGCCCCCCATCCGTGCCTTTGTGGTACAAGGTTACGCTTCTAGCCATATACTTCGAGGTCGCATCGAGCGAGAGCTTCATTCTGAACATGTACTGGCTTCTACTCGTTGAGTTGGTACATATGTCGAAGCACGTGGAATTGAAAGTTCAGGAGATGTCAAGCGAGAGTTCCTTAATGAAAAGGAGTTGTGCTCCAAAATTGTAACCGTCAGATCAATGAGCGCGGTGCTAAGGCGAGAGCCACATGTCGAAAACGAAGCACCCTCCAAATTGTAAATGTCGCGAAAGTCAAGCTTTATGGGAATACATGGTGGGGATTCTCAGGTGAAACGCCTGGCCCACCCTACCGACACGTCTGGGGGTGCGACATGGAGGAGTTGTCCACAAGGAAATGATGGAGTACGAGGAGGAGGAGGAGGAGGAGGAGGAAGAGGAGGAAGAGGAGTTGCGCTTAGCATCAGCTATCGTGATCTCGTTCTGGGTTTGGTCGGGGGGCCCTTGGTCCAGGGGGGTGTCCGTGATCAGACGATCCCGATCGTCGGAATCATCGCCCTGAATGTGTTCTCTGCTGCTGCTACGGTCGCGACCCATTTTGGTCCCAGTGTCAGTCCGAGGGTGTCCACCCCAAGTTGACAACAAGTTCTGACTGGAAGTCCCTCTCCAATGATGTGGACATGCATTGCAGAACGATGGTGGATATCAGCGATGTGGTTGGTGGCTCTCGCATCATAGCGCAGTTCTTGCGCAGCTGACATTATGGCAAGGCTAGCTCCCAGAACAAAGCTGCTCTCCCGGACCAGCCACAGCTGGGTGAGCTATGTATCCATTTGTTTCGACATTGCTCGAGGGGTGCCGAGTTCGTCGATGCGATGGGTCCCCCAGGGGGGGTAACGAACGCCGAGCCTAGAACATGTGGCGGGGTTGCTGCTCCGCCTCAACTTCCCTCCGCTCTGTCGCTCACCTGAGCGACGCAGAAAAACGGCATCGGTTGCGTCGACTTTCGCGCACAAGTTGCCCGCGTCAGCTCGCGCAAGCGCCCTCGTTCCCAATGTAGCGTGCCGCTCTGGCGACCCGCGTAAGCCACCGCGTAAGGTTGCTACGTCATCGTGCGTAAGACCACCTTCAGTTCGTCGCCCACCTCCGGCGCCCTCGCCCGCAGCCCGCAGGTGGCAGGTGCTCGCCGTGAGGTGCCCCCCGATCGCCCAGATCACTCCGGACCGCCGCCGCTGCGCTGTCACCTCCGGGTGCGATCGAAATGGGTACGTGATGAATGGGCACAGTAGGTTCGCGTCGTGTCGACCGGCGGCGACCCCGCCGCCAGCGTTCGATGTTGAACGCAGCTTGCGATTCAAAGTCGGTCGATACTAAACGATTTTACGTTTCGGAGACGACCGATCGTTCAAGGTTGAACGATCGCCGCGGTGTTAGAAACCAACGCCGAAGTCAGCACGACGCGAACCTCCCGCACGAAGACCGACACCATGTCCTGATCATTTTGAACAGGTCTCGCTGTCTGTATCGCCGCGGATGCTGTCCATTTGAGACAGCGGGTCGCCTGCCCAACGGTTGCCGCCGTCGGTCTTGAGCAGCACTTAGCGTTGGGCATCGTCCGTACCCTTCTGGTCAAGCCGCTCTGGCTCAAGCCAGCTGGGAAGGGCAGCACGCGCCAGCCAGCGGCGGAGCGAAGCGCGCGTGGCCCACCGTCCAGTGGTGCAGGGCGCGCGGCCTGCCATGACTGGCGGCGGCGAGCCCAACGGGCCATCTCTCCTGGCGCTGCGGCCTTGGGCTTGCCGCCGCGCTCGGCAGCGCGCCGAGACGGCGCGTCGGACCACGGCCCCTGTTTCGCCGCCTCAAGGCGCTGGACAGGCTGCGGCACTTTCTGCAGGACCTGGTTGGCAGCAGCGCGGCACCAGCTCCAAGCGCCTCGGGGGAGCTGGACTTGTGGTCCGAGGCTTGGTCTCCTACCTCTCCGCCAGGGCCGGGTGTCGCCCCCCCTGGCGGGCCTCTGGGTGCGCCTGGCCCTGGTTCGGCAATAGGCCCTCCCTGCTTCGGGTGCTCTCTCGACGGTGACTTGGCGGGCAGAGCGGCCACAGGGCTCGTGAAGCTGCAAGTGGCGTGGTGAATGCATGCGCGCCAGCGCCGGGAGGTCACCAGAGAGCGGGGACAACAGCTCGCGGCAGCACGGGCCTTCCTGCTGTCTGTTTACACCCGTGGAGCCGCCGAGCGCGCGTCTCGCGCTGTGCGGCCTACGCAGCAGGGTGGATCGAGCCGCCATGCTGCCTCACCGCCACGGCGCCGCGGCGCCGCTCCAATGGGCGTGGAGGATGGAGTGGAAGGCCAGGAGGAGTGTGTGAGCCTGTTGCAGGACGTGGCCGACGACCCGGTTGCGGTTGCTACTGCCGCGGGCTTCCCTGGGCGCCAGCACAGTAGCCTTCGCCGCCATTGCAGCAGAGGCCCCGGTGGCGACAACCAGCGGGTCGCCCCCCTCCGCCCTGCCGATGCGGGCGCCTTTTGCCCCTGAAATCGGTTGGGCCGCTATCACTTCGCCCATGATGAAGAAGCCGAAGCCGGCTCTGGAGCGGCCCTGGCTGGCATGTTGTAGCTGCTAGATCGATTCGACCTCGCACAGGGCAGCATTAATTAGCCACGGCATGCATTCTCTCTTCGCTCGCTGGGGAGAACGAGTGCGATGCCGCGCATCGGAGGTGCACGACCTGTACAGGGCGGCGATTTAGCGTAGTCAGTGATGTCTCCCCCGCCTCACAGCACATGGATGACGAAGCGTTCCTCGCGCACTTGCAGGACGCTGAGCTGGCCCGCCACACGGCTTGCACGGCTAGAAGTACTGGCGGAGACCATCGACCGTACGACGCGTGGACTCATGCGGGTGCGCGTCGTCACACACGGCCTGCTCAGAACAGACCCCGAGGGAGCGCTCCTGGACAAGTGGCAACAGACTGTCAACCTCTGTTGGGGCCCCGGGGGGGTCGCCGCTGAGACCTCCTGCCGTGCCTTGCTGCCCGCCCCGCCTGGCTGTGATGCGTGCGCCGGCCAGGCGGGGCGCTTCTCGTCCCTCTCTTGTACTCCGCCCCCTTCCTGCCACCCCCCTCTCGCGCCGCCATGGCGCCTCCTGGGCCGCTGCCACCGAGCGCCCCCAGCGGGCGCTCCCAGCCTCTGCTGGCACCGCCTCGGCAGTCGTCAGCATCCTGGTGGCAGGTCACAGACAGCATGTGTCTGCAGCGCACGTGCTTCGGCGCAGCCCCGCGCGGCTTTGTTGCCGCATCCAGCTGGCGTTGGCCGCTTGCAGCAAAGGCTGACGTTCCCGGCAACGTGACGGACAAATGGATGCTCCGGCTCCTGCACCCATTTGGGTTTTCTCTTCTAGGTGTAATTCGTTGACATTGTTCTTCACGCTTCCAGCGCTTGCAGCCCTGGCTTCAGTCCTTGGACGTGACCGTGGTGCCGTCCAGCGTCCACTGCGCTCATCTTGAAACGCTTTCGCCCATGAGTGCCTTCCTCCTCCCTCCCGTCCTCTGCGGCCGTTTCTCCCCCGTGCACCCTCTCTTGCAGCAGGACAGTTAGTCAGTCGCATGTCCCCGACAATTCGAGCGCCCGTGCGGATCGCCTTTGCCGTGCTGCGACGTAAAACGTTCATGTTGTCCGTGCCCATTTCGGGCGCCCAAAATACTGCGTGCGTTCGTCAACTTGGCTGTTCGGGTACGAATGTCAGCCGAACGCTCCATGCCCACGAAAACTGCAGCGCGCTGCCGTCTTTGACCCGGCCGTGGGGGGGGCACCTTCCTCGGCGGACGGATGCGCTTCCGGCACCAGGAAGTGTTGAAACCGAGCTACGCGCAGGTGGTTCGTTGATCCCCCGTTGGTTACCCCTTTTCCGTCCGCCCCAGTCTTTTCCCCGCTCGGACATGGATCGAGGATCGGGGTAACGTTCGCGTACGTGCGTGGTAGTAAAACCAGTCTCGGAAACCGTTCCAAATTTAGTCCGGGAGGTGACGTCCCAGATACGCTTTTGGTGTAAAGCACGGTTTGCCGTTGTGACGCGATGGATTGGGAGTTCATTCGTGTGGCCGATGGGAACGGGGGAGGAGAGCAGGACGATAGACAGATGTGTGGAAGGTGCAAAAATGCAGTGCAAGGCTTCCGACGAGAGCTGCAGAGGTCAAGCGAAATTTGGTTGTAGAGCGCCATGACCGCAGGTACCTTTATGTTCACGTGCCCCGATTCGACAGCGGTGGTGCATTCTGGTACCCCGATGCCGCCCTCGTGCTGCTATGTACCGAGAGGCGAGCCACATGTGCAGGACAATGTGCGGCAGCGCTGCAGGATCTGTTTGAACAGAAATCGAAGAGGATGCGCAGGTTCAGGAAGAGAAAATGTGGTCATTGTTTTATGAACGTTAGCTCCTCCACCCTCCCCCTACTAAATTACGTCTAGGTTTGGACGGGAGTTTGGCTGCGATGACGGTGCATGGCATCTTGCCCCGACGATCCGTTCGAATGACGCGTGCGCAGACTAGTTTTGTTGCGAGTAGACGGTGTTGCATCTGTGCGTGGTTACGCGCGTTTTGTGTTTCGTGCCCGTCCTCTGCTGGTTTGCTCCGATGCTGCCACTGAGGAACCATGCGCGCCCACTCGACACTCTTTAGTCGGCGGCTTCGGAGCGGACCCGTCGCGGTCAAGCAAGGCGTTGGGATGCCGCGGCGAGCGAATCGGGCACGGAGGAAGAGGACGGAGAGGAGGGAGGCGCGAGCGAGGCGGAGGCTGCGCTCAGGACGTGAAGTTCTCGTGCGCGCATGTCGGAGGTGCACAGCGGAGTGGAAGTCCACGAAGAGTCCACGACGAGTCCACAAGAAAGCCCCGTGGGGAGCTCCAGCTGAGGCGCCAGCGGTAGTTGGGCCTCTGCGCTCGTGGCCCGCCCTGCCTGGCGCCTCTCGCGCCGACTGCGCCCCCCTGGGGTGATTCCACATGCGGCTCCAGTGGGTGAGAGCTCGCCATGCCCTTCCCCGCCACTCGTGGGCGCGACTTTGCGCCCCATGGAAGGGGGCTGCCCATGCTGCCCATGCTGGGACGTGCACCCGCCTCCAGGAGGGACCACCCCCTGCGTCACGCGCAACTGCATGGGTCTGGGGCCCTCGCTTGGCTGATGCCAGTGATTCTGCTTGTCGGCGACTGCGGCTGCCGTGACGACAGCCTGTATGACCCGCAACGGTACGACACACCGCAGTCTGGACCCCACAGAGGGGGTCAGGCGTGGGGAGATCTGGTGTGGAGAAGTTTTGGGAAGAGCTCTAGGCCACTAGACGCTCAGAGAGTTCGTGGGATGTCGTGGCCTGGTCTCACTGGGTGTCAGCCGTGGCTCATGTTGCAAGCCCGTTGATGCAGCGGTTTGTTTGGCCATGTGGCAATCACGCGCATGTCCGCTACGAAGATGCCATGCGTGGTACCACACCGATTGACCACCGAGGGCGGGGCGCAGCGCACACGTGTTCAGATCAGCCCCCCCCTCCATTCTCCGAGGAAGGGCAGGGGCGAAGAAAAGCGGCAGGGAGTGATGAGAGAGGAGTTCTTGGATGGACAGGTTGTATTGCAACAGACAGGGGGTTGACCATGCAGAACGCAGTGCAGGCGGTGAGGTTCTGCAGCGTGGCAGCATGTAAAGGTACCTCCTGTGGAACCAGGCGCTGCTGGCGCTATTGCTGGGGACGCATGCGGCCGCAAATCTAGCCTGGTCCTGGTTTGCATGCATGTGCGCCCGCAAGGATACATTGAACCGTGATTGCATGCACAGGCAGTGCGTATTGTGTTTGGAACGTGGTGCAATGCCAGTTACATGAAATTAACATGCGCCTGTACCCAAGGTTCAGGTCCGTTCCCATGTGTATATGTGTTGCATGCACACGCGTACAATGGCGATTTGGCTGTAACTACAAAAGTGCACGCGCATAAGTGCGCTGTTGTGATTACGGCATATGATGGCGAGTGCGCATGCGATGGTCCATGCGCATGTGCACATAGATCAAATATATGTGACTGCGTTGTCCTTCGCAGTATACTTTGTCACCGTTGAATTGGCCATCGAATGCTTAGCCGGGCAGAATGGCCTCTCAGCTTGAGCACACATTGTGTGGAGGACATCGGAAACGTAGTCTATCATTGCTACCCCCCCGATATTGTAGAATACCGTAGCACCCCGCAATTGCGGATAAGAGTGAGGGGGCGGGCGCGGGGTGGGTCGCGGGTGGGTCGCGGGTGGGTCGTGGGTGGGTCGTGGGGTGGGTCGCGGGTGGGTCGCGGGTGGGTCGCGCGCGTGGGTTGCGGGGTGGGTCGTGGGTGGGTGGCGGGGTGGGTCGCGAGTGGGTCGAGGGTGGGTCGCGGGCGGGTCGCGGAGCGGGGGGGGGGGACGACGCAACAAAACAACAAGAATCTTCGCCGTGGATCCCCATTTCAGCCACGCACCCAGGGACAGTGAATGACCGTTCGGGCCCCCTCACTCTGATTTGGATATCCGATCCGATGGAGTGCAGTGGTGTTTACTTGGGACAGCGAGAGAAAATGGTGAAGACTCGACAGCATCATCGCAGCATATGTAGGTTGAGCACGCGCAGTCGTTGGGAAGGTTGCAGCTGCAGTGCTCCCCGCCCCTTCTCAGGAATTTGACTACGGTCGCAGTTGTGGCCTCGAAGGTACGCCCGTGCATGGAATGGCCAGTCGATGCTCTTGCACTGCCTGGCATCCGTTCATTTACACCCAAACAAGGGAGATGCTGTTCATACCGAATTGAAGCATCACATGTAGCATATATGCATGCACATTCAAACGAGGGAGGGTACACTTGTCCAGGCGAATACAAGTCAAGTCGATTGCGCGCTGTCAGTGTGCTAATTCCCCCGGGCAACGTCCCGCTACAATGCAGGCTCCACAGAAGCCACAGATTGTGTTCGTTCCTTGCAGGGATCACTTAGCCCCGTCGCCGAATCCGCCGCCGACATATGTTTGCATGTTTGTTCGAGGATGATGCGTCCCAGGTCCCCACAATGACGCATCCGCAGAGCATTCCAGGCGTAATCGTTGCATGTTTGCTCGAGGGTAGGGCGTCCCAGGTCTAGAATGCGTCCCAGGTCCAGGCAGTGGTACGAGGTCCCAAGACTATTCCAGGTGCAGTCCGTGCGTGCCCGTCTGAGGATGGTGCGTCGCAGTCCCAGACAATGGCGCATCTCAGGGGAACGTAGTCGTCACCCTCTCGGGCCTCCAAGTAGGGTGGCATGGGCACAGGATTGTGACCATTCGAGGTCTCCCAGGTCCAGGAAGCGCGTCAGGGGTCTCGGAGTCTCTTCGTTCCGACTCTCCCAGATTCGGGAAGTGTGGCAACGGCACACGGTTTCCAAAGGTCCAGAAAGCGTGGCCCCAGGTGATCCGCATTGGAGCATCAGCATTTACTTGCTGTTATCCAGCTGCTTGTGCACCGCCACCGTACCAGCCCAGCACCTTGGGTGGGCGCACAGGAGGCCGTAACGTGTGGCACATTCTTCCGCGTCGTGTCAGGGGTCCTCTTCTAGTCCTCGTCGTCGTCCGCCCTGTCGTCCGTCCGTTCTTGGGCTCTTGTAGGGCAGACGTGGGAGCTCTTTGGGGCAGTCTCGGGGCCCTCTTGCCCGTCTCGGGGGTCTCTTGCACCCGACGTGGGGCCATCTTGGGCCGTCGAGAGGCCTCCAGAAATCTTGCAAAAGACTCTGGTGAACCAGTGTTCTTCATTGTCATGCTGTTCTTCTTCGGATAGCTTTTTAGAGCGCTTCAGCATGCCCCAATGCGGTCCACAACAATGCCCGAAAACGTCCCATAGATGTCCCTAGAACGCCCCATAAGGACCCCAGGACGACTCAAGAGAGCCTGCGTAGAGGCCAAGAACGCCCCAAGACAACCCTGGAGAACGCAAAGATTGTCGAAGACAGCAACCAAAGGGCCGCAAGATGCGCCAGGACGGCCGGCCCAAGAGCCACCCCAAAGTCCCCAAGGCGCCCCCTAGCGAGCCCGAACGCTCCAGGAAGAGGCCCAAGGGGCCGCTACATTCCAAGCAGGCCCAAACATATTAAACATCCACCCGCACTGGCTGTGGACAGTTCGAGGGTCTCCAATGATTGCCCCCCTGCACCCGAGTGCTGCCCCCAAGAGTCCGTGGGGTCTGTGATGGTTTGGGATACTTGTGGACTCCCCACGTGCTCGCTCCAGAAGGCTCCAAGAGCACCTCGGACGAGCCCCAGACGCCCCAAGAAGTCAGTTTTCTCTGGCGGTTGTTTGGAAGGCTCTCCGGAGAAGACGACTAGAACCTAGACGCGCGCGTGGCTCTAATTCAAGACTAACGGCCATCAATGAGCTGAGGGTACTCTGGATTTCGATCGGCGTCTGCGGCGTGCGTCTCGATCACTTCGATGGCTTCGGCCCCCGATAACCTCTCACTCCGATCCATGCCTGGCGGGACAGATGGCTCCTTTGCATGATTATCACATTGGCGTTGGTGGTCAGTGGGTGTATCAACATTTGCAATGGATTGAGGTGCGCGCCGTTATCATTGATGTGTCTATGTGTGTAATCTCTCTCTTGCAATGTCCCCCCTCTCTTGGGAATGCATTAGGGGACGCACTGTTCGAGCTTGCCTGATCCGTCGACATTTGCGCAGGCTGGGTACGGACAACTTCCGTTTCTACTGCCTTTGTTGGTGCTACCTTTAGGCCAGGGGGAGCCATTTGTTGCGTCATTGTTTTAGCGTTTCCCGTGTGCATGTGGTAAAGCATGGTGTTTCTTTGTTTTGTCGCGTGTGTGGTTGATTGGGGCATTTATTGCACGACCGCATCGGAGATTCGAACATTGATTCACTTGTGGATTGTTGTAGATTAGCTTTGGGCCATCGCTATACAACGCAGTGTCGTGGACAAGCGGGTAGACATGGTGATGCATCCAGGCGTATATGGTTGCCATGCGTTTGTGTTGCACCCTGGCCCATTCAAGCACATGCCTCGTCGTCGGCACGTCTACCGCGAAGGTGCGCTCGATCGGGTTTCGTTTCCAGAGTGGGGCCGCGTCTTCTGTAGCGTTACTTCACGGGTGCGAAATTTGGTTGGGAGGCCCCCCCCCCCCACGGGCCGCGAAGCTGGCCGCGACTGTTCCAGAGCGAGTCCACCGCTGGACCCCCAGGAATTCGTCGGGACCGTCGAGCTGGCTTCCTTGGTCGGCCCCCAGGAATGTGCCAGGTCTCGGATGAGAGGCGGGAAAAGTGACGTTGCCGCCCAGTGTCGTTCATAAGTCGCCCGGGCGCGTCGCGACGGAGATTCTACACATTCCTTCAAATACAGTCTTCGTTGTCACGCTTCTCGATTTGCGAGCAGCGCCAAGACGCCCGAAAGACGGGTATTGGAGGCGTCTTGGATGGGTCGAAATGGCGTCCGAGGAGATCCAAGCCAGGGCATTTCCACGGCCTGAGATGTGTCTTGCCCCCCCCCCAGGCGGATCCCACTGCTCGTTCGTACGTCCCTTGGCATGCATCCCAGGGTACGCGGCAATTGGAAGTAGGCACTAGCGCACGAAGTTTGCGGGTTTCTGATGTTGATGGCGACGAGGGAGAGCGAGAGAGGGACTCTGAGGAGGAAAGGGACGGAGGGGCAAGAGGAGCAGGGGTCGCAGAGGGAGCATGGATTGGGTTTTGGGATGCGTACCTCAGGAGGAGAGAGGGCGAGGGGGAGGGCGAGTTTTCTGGTCGCGATCCCGCGACCGCCAGCATTCAAGATGCGGGCGGAGTACCGATTCCTAGAGGCATCCCGCCGATTGTCGCTCACAGCTGCCAGGCGCCCAGGCTCTCTGCGAGAAGAAGGGATGGGCAGGAGCAGGAGGAGGAATAGTTGTTGCTGTTCGCCTTACACATTTGAGCCGCGGTCACCACCACTTCTGACATCACCCGGCCCGGCTAGAACAGCAGAGATTGGGCGCAGTAGACGGGGTAATAGGGAATGTTTGCGGGCAGGCGTTGTTCCTGCAAAGCACATTTCTCCGAATTGAGTGCTTCCGTGAGCATACGTCCCGTTCCAAAACATCCAGCGGCCAGGTCGCAGTCAGTAAACTGACCTCGCCACGTCCGCCTTATTGCAGTGTGCGTCAACGCCGCTGCTCAAGACGGGACGTGTTCGAAGGCAGTTGATCCATGGAGGGCGCCGGGTTAGAGTTTGCACAATCCGTATATGGGGTGTGCAACAGAGGGGCATGTGCACTGCAGCGGCGCGTCACTGCAAGTTGTGTCATATGGGTGCTAGCGCGGGAAATACAGGAAGTTGCTGAACATATGTGATGCCGTCGTCTTTTTAACATCCGACTGCCAGAGCCATTGGTAAGGAAAAGCAAAGCACTCAAACATGCACCTCTCATCTTTAATCGATCGGCACCCGTGGGCCGAGCGCTCACCCGAGGAGTGTTAAGCATCGGAACGCCAGTTTTATGGATCCTTCTCCTTCCGTCCCCTCTCCGTCCTGTCTCCCCCTCCTCTCCCCCCCACTTCGGTCCCCTTCTCTACCTCTCCTGTCACTCTGCCTCTTCCCTTTCCATTTCCCGCTTGCTGGGACCCGCGACGGACGCCGTTCCCGTGGCCCCATAGTTGTGGCCCCGTTTACATGGTCTTGGAATTTGGCTCCTCCGAGCTGAGTGCTTGGCGCCCTCCACTCGACGGACCCGCTGATACTGCTACCCGAATCCGGGAGGGCAGGGTCGGACGGGTCTTCGTGCCCGCAGTTTGACCCCGCTCGCCCTCGCCAGGGTCTTCGCGGACGTCAGTTGGGTTTCGGGTTTATGTTCGCCGGTGTGATTTGGACGGGGCCGTTGCATTCTTTCTTTGGTGTAACCGTATCGGTCCTTCTAGTGTGCCACCCTGCAGTCAGCGAGAGCGTCTGGAGCCGCCACAGGGAAGCTCGAGCGTCGTGGACGCTACGTTTGTACGAAACGGTGCCTGGGCAGATATCTGGCTCTCGACTGGACCAGAGAGGGGGGAGGGAGAGAGAGAGAGAGAGACATTATAGGATATCCAAATCACTTGGTACTTACTGAATTCCTCAGTCAGGTCCATGTGGAGAAGCAGCGGCGCTCAATATCTGCAGTCAGGGTAATTGCGATGACTGGGGAGAGCCAGTTGAGTACTTGTACTGGTGAGAGCTAAGTTTCTGAGTTGCCATCTCTCCTCTCTCTCCCTCCCCTCTCCTTCCCTCCCCGCCCTCCTCTTCCCTCCGCATGTGCTGATCCTCCGCCTGCGCACGTGCTGGTGGTGCCAAGGCAGCTGGACGCCAACGACCCGCGACTCTCGGAGCACTTCGTGTCAGACGCCTACTGGCACCCAGGGAGATTGCCAGGGAGATGCGACACTTAGTTTAAATGAGGCAGCAGCAAAGATCTTCTTCCGCAGCCAGTTCATCCTCATCTACCTCCGCCTCCTCTTCCTTCTCCTACTCATCACCATCATCATCATCATTTCGTAGTCCATTGTGGCTAAGGTAGTTGCTTGATCGTGGGATGTCCCAACGCCTCTGTTTCTTGCTTGCTGTGCTTTGTTGCCCTCTGATACTTTCTGTCGCTCGCCTCGATTGGCTTTTTGATATGATGTTTCTGGACGCTTGGCGAATGTCAGTATATCACACATGTTTCTGCGGAGGGAAGATTAAGTCTGTGATGCAAGTGATGCAACCGAATCTTGATGATTGTGCTCCTCCGTGCCGTCCTCCGTTCCGTTACCCGAAGCATGCAGGAAACGGGCAGGAGTTAGCCGAAGACCATTTTTTTAGACCAGCCACAGAATGTGATATTTGGTTTTCAGACGAAGCAAGGGGAGAAGACCGCAGCAGGATGGGAGCGGACGCCGTGCTAAAGCCCAAGAGCAAGAAGTTAGCCAAGGTACGCGAGCAGCAGCAGCTCGGCTTTGCCATCCTGGTCGGCTCCCGGCTACCCGACAGTCTCAACTGGAAAGAGCTGGCTGAGCACTTGCAGAGCGCCGGGACTCGGCTGCTAATGGACCCGGGCCTTGCTCTTGTCCTCTTCTACGCCATGGGTCTCCTCTCGCACATGTACAGACCTGGCGACGTGCTTCGGGATTTTGCGGATCATTGCAGGAAGTTATTCAGCCACGACGGATATGATATGACCTGGAGCTGGAGCTGGACCCTACGAACTATGTCTACATAGCAACTTGGGCGGTGCTGCTACACCTGGCAGGGTTACGACAGGACGACGCCCCAGAGGCGTACCTGGCATAAGACCAGCTCCATCCCGAGCCGAAGTTGAGAGTGTCCGGCAACCGCTGGCGGAAGAAGGGCGATTCGGTCCCCCACGGAACCCCACGCCAACCACATGGGTGTTGGAGCGGCACCACTTGCCGCTGAAAACGCCACACAGGGCAGCCCACAGCCAGCTACCTCCGAACGGTTTTCCGGCAGCTTGAGGGCCACTGGGAGCAGATCGGGGGCCAACTCCCCGGGCCCGGCCAAAAGCCCCTCTGTTCTTTCTGGGGTACGAACTTGCTGACCATCATGCTCATCATGATCCGCAAGCCGAGGGTACTGCTGCACCCTTACTGCAAGCCGGGCCCCAGTGGAGATGTATGGGAGGCTGTCCCCGCCTTCTGGAACCCTTGGGACAAGGCGCGCCTTCCCATTTGGGGTAGGTTCGGCGCCAGTCGGGGGATGCAGCCCACGGATTTCTGCATGCCCCACGGCAGGATTGAAGACCTACTGCGAGCTGTCAGCTGCCTGGCCACCGCATCCCACCATCACCCTGTTGCCAGGCAGGCGAGCTGCCCAACCACCTGGAGGGACATGAACCCTTGCCCCCCAGGCCTTGGACGCGCTTTTGGAACCCGCCAGCCTGGGCGCGCTCAAGGCGCACGATTGCGCCTTGACCGGCTCTGACATTGGTCTACGCGACCTGGCTGAGCTGAAGCAGGCCCGGGCCGTGGATTATGTCGGCGGGGGGGCGTCAACCTCGGGACGCGACCTTTTGGCTGATATACCCAGCGCCCCGCTGCCTGGCATTGCTTTGGATCCACCAGCCCTGCGCGATGATGACGTCCGCTTCGAGACCAGCAGACATTCGAAAAGCGACGTCATCTGATGCGACGATTGCCGCGGGAACTTCGGCACCGACGCATGCGTTTGGCTTCTGGCGCGGGCCGGGCAACTTCTTGCAGCCAACCGCGAGACCGCCTACCACAGAAGGGGCGCTGCTTCAGACGGCAGTCGATTGGGCGCTGGAAAAACGAGCTGCGGGCCCAGAGGCGCCCCGTCCTGGGGCACGGCAAGCTCGGCCCCACCTGCGCGACCTGGACGAACACGATGGGCAGATTGGCGATGTCCACGCCAGGCGACCGCTGCCGCAGGGCCGCCTGGTCGGCGACCCCACGAGCGACGCGCCCCTATAGCGGGCCTGCTGCTTCCAGGGGGGGGGGGGGGGCACGCTGCCCCGGCGCCTTCGGCGCCGCCGTTCCCCGGCACCGCATCGACGAGGACAGGTTCGGCGGGCGAGCGAGACAGGGCGCGCAGCAAGGCGCGGCGGACGCCCCCTGGGAGAGACAGCCCCGGCCTGGAAGGCAGGACAGCCCCCCCGGCACGTCTGCCTTCGCTCCGACCCGCCTCGGCACGGCGCCAACGCCTTCGCCGGGGGCCCGGCGCGCGGGCCCCCGTGCTGGGCCTGGAACGCCGATTGGTTCTGTGCCCGGTGCCTCGCGGACATCTGGGGCGCGCGGCCATCCGCCGTTCGGCCCATCCGGGCGCGGGGCGCGGCCCTCCTCGCCCGCCCGCCCAATCCCGCCGCGCGGCCCGCGGTCGGCCCGGCAGCGCGCCGGGGAATGAACCGGTCGGCGGCCGCCTCGGCACCCACCGCCAGCGGCGCCCACGACCCGCTGAAAGAGCCCCAGAGGGCGCACCCCAGCCAGGATCCATTGCAGATCTGGACAGCCCTGGCAGAGCACCTTGGCGCAGCCAACTTCCTGAGCACGGCCCCCCAAAAGAAACGGCCATTTGCGCAGACTGACCGCGGAGCAAGGGCCCAGAAAGCGTAGGGCGCAGCCTGGCGGGGCCGCCGCCGAGCAGCCCCCGCCGCGCGGCCCGGGGCCGACCCCGGGGCCCGCGGCGAGAGGAGAGAGCCACCAGAGCGGGGGCGGAGACCAGCGTCGGCCCCTCATCGAGGGCGCCACCAGCAAAGCCCAGCCGCCGCGCGGGATGTCCGCAGGCGGGCGCCGAAGGAGACTCGCGAGGTCGGAGCGCCCCCCCGGGCGAGATCCAACGCAGGCCCCAGCGGGAGTCGGCGGCGCAGCCCCCAGGATGGGAGGAGGAGAGGCAACGGCTCTGGAAGCCGCCCCGCGGCGCGCAGACAGCGCGCTGCCGGCGCGGAGCTCGGCGGGCGCGCGGACGCAGACAGCCGCGCCAGCCGGTCGGGGGAAGCCCCGGCCGATCGGCGGGCGGTCGATTTCTTGAAAAAGCGCGCACAAATAACATAACCCGGCAAACACAACGCAGTCAAATCACCAAACACGGTAACACACAAGCAGCATCGTCGCATAAACCAGCAACAATTAGCACGAGTGCATCAGAAATGACAACACCAGCAAACAAACGGCAATGGAACAAGGGAGTTGGGGGCACGGAGACCAAACCAAGTTGAGCCATGCGGACGCTTCCGTAATAATGGTTCTTGGGCGAGGAATTTCGAATAAGGAATCCCATGCACGGAGTCCAAAATAACGACTCGGCCGCGAGGATTCTTGGACGAAGAACGAATGGGCCCACGCAAAGGACCCTTTAGAACGGAATCCATGGTCAGGATTCTTTGTCTAAGGAATCTGCGGCAGGGAGTCCTTGACTGAGAAGAGAGCCCGTATTGATGAACCCGTTGTAAGAAACCCTTAGTAAGGAATCTTGAATAGGGAATCTTCAGTTAGGAATCCTCCAGAAGGAATCATTGAACCTTGCGCCAAAATCCTGACTAACGAGCCCGTAGTAAGGAACCCACTATTAAGGGCCCCTGAACGAGGGGCCCTAGATAAGATACCCTTCGCAATGAATTCGCAGACGAAGGGATCCAGGAGAGACAAATAGCCTGGCGAAGAACCCAACCATGTGCAGTTGCGGGCACAGCCGCTGCGCGCGCACCGCACGCTTCGGCCGCAGAGGGAGCTCCGCCGAGGGGCGTGCCAGAAATGGGCGCGGCAAGCGCGTGCGAGCGCTGGCATGCGGGCCCCCGGTGGGTCTCCCTATGGAGCCGACGAAGCGCGTGCGGAGTGCGCCAAACATGCGTTTGGTGGGCGCGTGCGAACGCTGGCATCCGGGCCTTCGGCGGGGCCCCCTGATGGGGCCACGAAGCGGGTGAGGGGCGTGCCCAATGAGCGCGGTGGGCGCATGCGAACGCTGGCGTGTAGGTCTTCGGCGAAGCTCCCCATGGGGCCCCGAAACATGCGAGGGGCGTGCCCAAATTGTCGGGGTGGGCGCGCGCGAACGCTGGCATTTGGGCTTTCGGTCGAGTTCCTTGCGGGGTCGCGAACCGCGTGAGGGCGCGCCAACATTTGCGCCGCGGGCGCAGGCGAATGCTGGCATTTGGGCCTTCGATGGGGCCCCCCGCGGGCCCGCGGAACGTTCGAGTGGCCGGCGGGGAACCCTATGGGGCCGAAGCGCGCGAGGGGCGTGACAGAAATGGGCGCGGCAAGCGCGTGCGAGCGCTGGCATGCGGGCCTCCGGTGGGTCTCCCTATGGGGCCGACGAAGCGCGCGCGGAGTGCGCCAAAAATGCGCTTGGTGGGCGCATGCGAACGCTGGCATCCGGGCCTCCGGCGGGGCCCCCTGATGGGGCCACGAAGCGGGTGGGGGGCGTGCCCAATGAGCGCGGTTGGCGCATGCGAACGCTGGCGCGTAGGTCGTCGGCGAAGCTCCCCATGGGGCCCCGAAACGTGCGAGGGGCGTGCCCAAATGGGCGGGTTGGGCGCGCGCGAACGCTGGCATTTGGGCTTTCGGTTGAGTTCCCTGCGGGGCCGCGAACCGCATGAAGGGCGTGCCAAATTTGCGCCGTGGGCGCACGCGAATGCTGGCATTTGGGCCTTCGATGGGGCTCCCCGCGGGTCCGCGGAACGTTCGAGTGGCGTGCCGACATGGGCGCGGTGGCCGCATGCGAACGCCGGCATTTGGGCCTCGGTCGGGCCCCCCATGGAGCCACGAAGCGCGCGAGGGGCGCGCCAAAACGGGCTTGATGGGCGCGTGCGAACGCTGGCACTTGCGCCTTCGGTGGGGAACTCTATGGGGCACCGAAGCGTGTGAGGGGTGTGCCAAAAATTGGCGTGGTGGCCGCGTGCGAACG